ATCTTGGTATTCTGCCTGGACATGTAAGGTTGTCTCCTAACCCAAAAAGTATTCAAAGGGCAGCTCGACCCCCGTAATAATCAGCGAAGTGGCAATCTTGAAAGCATTAACATCACAAACTTCTCTACATGGTTCGATTCGGGTTTGGATTCGCATCTAATAAACTCATAGCCTCACTGAAATAAAAGTGCGAAAATAAATACATCTAAAAGGAGTTTTGTCAAACGGGGTTGCCAAGAATAAAAACCTAACAATAAGGATCCTGTGTTTGTTGACAGTCCTACGCCTTCTCCAGCTCCTGTGGAGGTTTCTCCATCTCCACTTCCCATTGAGGTTCCTTCTCCACCAGAGCGTCACTCTACACGGGTAAGGCAACCTTCTCTTATTCTCCGTGATTATATTGGTTGTTCTACTGCCTTTTCCGCCCATGAACCTACTTCCTATCGAGAAGCTGGTTCTAACCCTCTTTGGCAACAAGCTATGACTGATGAACTACAGGCTTTCGATAAAACTCATACCTGGGATGTGGTTGATCTTCCTCCTAGAAAGAGTACTGTTAGTTGTAACTGGGTTTACAAGCTCAAAACTCATTCTAATGGTTCCATTGAGCGTTACAAAGCTCGTCTTGTAGCCCCGGGATTTACTCAAGAATATGGGATTGACTATGAGGAAACATTTACTCCCGTTGCTCGTCTTACTTTAGTTCACACCTTACTTGCAGTTACTACTGCTCGCCACTGGAATCTTTTTCAGATGGGAGTCAAGAATGCATTTCTCAATGGTGACCTTACTGCTGCTCACCACCGGAGTCTGTTCCATCAAACAAAGTTTGCAAACTTCGTTATGCTTTGTATGGTTTGAAACAAGCTCCACGTGCCTCGTTTGCCAAGTTCAGCTCCACCATTCGTGACTTCGGTTTTTCCTCCAGTGCCTATGATTTTGCCTTGTTTATACGTAAGATGGAGCATGGTACTATTCTCCTTCTCCTTTATGTGGATGATATGATTATCATTGGAGATGACATAGTGGGCCTTTCTAGTCTCAAACAGTTTCTCAATCGCCAGTTTGAAATGAAAGGTTTGGATTTGCTTAGCTACTTCCTTGGCTTAGAAATTTCCCAAGATTCCTCTGTTTATTTTCTTACCCAGGCCAAGTATACTTCTGATCTCTTGGCTTGTACTGGCCTTACCTATTGCAAGACTGCCACTACTCCGGTTGATCCTCAGACTCATCTTACACCCCTTGACGGTTCTCTATTAACTAATGCCACTTTATATCGTTAACTAGTTAGTAGTCTAGTCTATCTCACGGTTACTCGTCCAGCTATTGCTTATGTTGTTCACATTGTCAGTCAGTTCATGGCTGTTCCTCGTTCTCCACACTATGATGCTCTAGTTTGCATTTTGCGCTATCTCAAAGGAACTTTGTTTCATGGTCTTCACTACTCCCCTCACTCTTCGCTGCAACTGCATGCATTTTCTGGTGCCGATTGGGCCGGGGATCCTTCTGACCGTCGTTCCACTACTGGGTTCTTCTTTTTCTTGGGTAACTCTCTTCATTTCCTGGCGTAGCAAGAAGCAAACTCTTGTTGCTCTTTCTAGTACCGAGGCTGAGTATCATGCTCTTGCTGACACTACTCAGGAGTTTGTGTAGCTTTGTTGGCTTCTTTCTAACATTGGAGTTTCTCATTCTGCTGCCACCAATCTTTATTGTGACAATTAGAGTGCTATTCAGATTGTACATAACGATGTCTTCCATGATCGCACCAAGCATATTGAGATTGATTTCCATTTCATACGCCAGCATGTTACTAGTGGCCTTATTTGTGTTCTCTTTGTTACCTCTATTGATCAGACTGCCGACCTCTTCACTAAAGCTCATCTTCCAGACCGCTTCTCTAATCTCCGTTCCAAGCTCAAGTTGATATCTGCCTTACCACCTTGAGCTTAAGGGGGGGTGTTAGCTATATATTATTATACTTATCTATTTGTATTGTAGATATATCTCTATCTCTATCTCCTTCTATACTTATCTCTATCTCCTTGTATCTCTATCCCAATCTCATTGTATCTTTATCTTCTTATGTACCTATCTAGGTTTCTTTTCAGCCTATATATACAGGCTTCTGCTATTGTATTATTCATTCAATTTCAATATATTAGAATTACTCTCATAACACTACAAAAGCTATACTTAGGGTCCGTTTGGCAGGAAAGTTTGGTTTGGGTTGGGTTAGGGCTATTTTAGTCGCAAAAAGACAAAATAACCTTTTTTGCCTAATAAGACAAAATGTCACATCCAAATCATAATCATTTCATTTTCTTTCTTACAAAAATAAAAAAGCTAAAAATCTATCACAAACGAGACTTTTTAACCCTAGGTTGAAATAGCCAAAAAATTAAAAAGCCAAAAAGCCAACCTACATCCAAACGAAGGCCTAACCAAAAAATACAGCTTGTTTCAGGACAACCAAAATTCAACATTATTATCATGGAAATAGGTAATAGCCCACTTTTTGACTTTTTGTGTTTTTGTTTTTTTATTTAACAAATATTATGACAGAGCAAAATGAGAGCATACCAGGGCCCTCCAGGGAGTCGTAAACCTTGGCATTGACCATTCGTGTAGAACCAAAATCCTTGGTGTTTTCCAAGGAAGTCTCCAGTCTCAGCTTCCAATATGACACCTTCCATTAGGGGTGAGCAGCGGATATACCGATCCGCCAAAACCGACCGAACCGAACCGATCCGCCACATTTTGGACGGATGCGTGATGATGAGCGGACGGTTGCGGATTGATTTTCTTCAATCCGCCAATCTGGCGGACGGATGGCGGATTGGAGGTTTCGTGGCCGCAACCGACCCGCGCCCACCCCTACCTTCCATCTCCCCAATGTGTTTTGCAACAAATTCACGGAACTTTATCTGTCAGTGAAAACTGGTTTGAGGGACAAAAACACAACTTAATCAAAAACAGAAGTACAGAAACAAGAACGACGGGGTAATGGAATTATAATTTAAATAACGTATAATTTTAATTGAAATAAATCCACAATCAAAAGTAACATCTCCTTCGTAAAAAATAAAAAAGAAAAGAGAAAAATGACCAACTTATCAATAGATTACATCAATGAACAGTTTTCCGAATACATTTAATTGAACCTAACAATATTTCCAAAAGTGCCGGGGATTCTTAAATATACGCAAGGATATTGTATGTGTGATTGAGTGATATATGCCTTGTATCATAGAAGTCACCAATTCCTACAAATTCATAATCCTCTAGTTGTTAGGGACCAAGAATCAAATTATGGGTAGGCCAAATTCAAAAACGTTCTACATTAAAAATAAAAATAAAAAAATTCTTCAGATGTCACTATAATACATTGTCAAAGTAGCTAAATGTTTAGTCAAATTGTAGCTAAAAACCTACTTTTCCATTTTAGCTAACCTTATTTTTCTTGTCATGCTCCAACAAACTCTCCATTTCTTTCTCCATTCAATTTAAATATTCCTTATTATTATTTATTTATTTTTTCAGAAAAATTATATTTTTCAAATGGAACTTAACGGTCATATTTTTCAAATAGAAACTTTTGCAATGGTCATATTTTCAAATGGATATTTTTGTAACGACCATATTTCTTAAATAGAAACTTCTATAACGGTCATATTTTCAAATGAATATTTTTGCAACGGTTATATTTTTGAAATAGATATTTTTCTAACGGTCATATTTTTTCAATATAAATAAGATCATTCCTCTTTAATTTTCATCCACCTCATCCAGTTTTCTTTAACATTAAGTCTTTATTTTCTCACTATGCGTCACAATTCTGTACACAATATGATTCTCAATGAGTCTGACTCTGATTATGAGTTAGAGATAATTACAGTAACCAAAATGAAGGAAGAATCAAGATCGCGTCGTAGTTCTATACAACGTCATGTGTTCATTAGGCGTAATACTTTACAAGGCCACCAAAGGCTTTTTCTTGACTATTTTGCTGGATCACCAATATATCCTCCCAATCTATTTTGAAGAAGGTTTTGGATGAATCATTCTCTTTTTCTCCGTATTCATTCTACCCTAAAAGCTCATGAACCATATTTTGCTCAAAAAAGAAATGGTGCTGGAGTGCTTGGTTTGTCCTCCTACCAAAAGATGACTGCTGCACATAGAATGCTCGCTCATGGAGTAGCGGCTGATTTTATGGATGAATATGTAAGGATTGGAGAAAGCACTGCAATGAAAAGTTTTAAAAATTTTGTTAAAGCGGTGGTTACAATTTTTTCTGATGAGTATTTGAGATCACCAAACAAAAATGACATTGCTAGATTCCTAACAATTGGCCAAAGTCGTGGATTCCCTGGGATGTTGGGGAGCATTGATTGTATGCATTGGAAATGGAAGAATTGTCCAACTGCGTGGAAAGGGATGTATTCTGGTCATATTCATGAACCTACAATTATTTTAGAAGTAGTAACATCATATGATCTTTGGATATGGCATGCATTTTTTGGGTTACCGGGGTCTCATAATGACATCAACATGCTAGAACGATCTTCTGTATTTACCAAGCTTGCTGAAGGGGGTACTCCTTCTGTCCATTACTCAATCAATGGTAATGATTATACAATGGAATACTATCTAGCATATGGTATATACCCGCAGTGGTCAACATTTGTCAAAACAATTCCATCTCCGCAAGGAAATAAGAGAAAGCATTTTGCTGCAGCTCAAGAGTCAGCAACGAAAGATGTAGAACGTGCTTTTGGAGTTCTTCAAGCACGATTTACAATTGTACGTGGACCTGCACGTTCTTGGGAATGTAAAACACTAAAGAACATTGTGAAGGCATGCATAATATTACATAACATGATTGTTGAGGATGAGCGAGATGATAATGAAACAAAAGACTACGACTATGAACAAATCGATGAAAATCCCCATGTATTTGTTTCACATGAGCATACAACTGAACTTATGGAATTTGTTCGATGCCATCATCGCATTAGAGATAGAGAAACTCATTCTTAACTACAATCAGACCTCGTCGAGCACTTATGGCAACTACATAGTCAATCATAGCAACTTGTAATTTTAAATTTCGTGGTCACATGACGAAAACTCATTAGTCTTCATTGTAATTTGAAAATTTTCCAGGCATTAATAACTACATAATTTTTCTCTCAGGATACTTAGAATTTTTACATAAGGAGTTACATATAAAAGACGCTATAAACTTCAATTGCAAATTTAAGATCTGATGCATGCCCTGCAATTGCAAATTTGTAACCAAAGCCTGTCTAATGAAGGATTAGATAAAAATACAATGGGTGTAAATTTGGCTTGTATCATAGGCATGGGCTGCATGACTCTGGGTTGTAAGAAAGTTGGTTTTGTGACCTTGACTCATTAGTATGTTAGTTTGATTCCTAAAAGTTTGTAGTCATGTAATCATGTTGCTGTCTATGTGCTTTGATGTTTGTAATACACTTGGATGTTTGTATATCACACCTGAGTCCATGACAGACCAAAATATCAGCCAACATATCAAACAGAACAAAATAGACCAACAGACCAGACCACTAATTTTTGCTGATCTTGTGTGCTGTTCTGCTGGGGTTTTTGCTCTAGTTTTTGCTGATTTTGCTGTTGATGTGTGCTGTGTTGCTGGTTTTTTGTTGATTTTTGCTGTGTTGTATGCTGTTCTTATAGGTGTTGCTATCTGGTTGGTTGCAACTAGTTTTTATTGATTTGGGCTGCTGTTGTATTCTATTTACTGGGGTTTTTTTTGCTCTATTCTGTTGATTATGTTGCTGCTGGTGTGGTGGTTGGTGGATCATTTTGCCTTGAGTTGCTGTTGTTGTTGTTGAATTGTTTGTTGTTGTGGTTGCTGGGTGGAGTACATAGTTGAAAGGGGTATGTTGTCATTAGTTGACCCTTTGCCCAGCAGGATTGTTATCTCTAGGATAGATGATCAACAATTGGAAAAAGAAAACCAGTACCCAGAACCTCTCTTTCGCACTAAAGAACTGACTAAAATAGAAAATCTAGGTAGCTTTCCAATGAGATTTGAGCGAAAATTTAGCCTTTCAATAAGCTTGAACTCTTCAATATCTGGTGAAGAAGAAGGCCATCAGGTTGCTAAAGTATTTCATGTAGTTGAGAATGAGGACCCATTAAGAAAACATCATGATTTAGGTGAAATTCCTTTCCTTCAGTCTGGACATCTTGCGACAGAATCTGTGAAATCATGTTTGCCTGGTGGAAGTGCTCTCTTAGAAATTGAAGGCCAGCAATTTGACGAAGCAAACTAGAGCCCACAAACTCCCTTTGCTACTGGAGGGTCTCAAAAAGAAGATCTAGGAAGCCTTCTGATAAAAAAAAGAGCAGAAGTCCAACTTGCTTGGTGGGAGTGTTCTCTCAGACATTGAAAGCCAACAATTCCACGATGCAAACCAGAGCCCGTGAACTCCTTTTGCCACTGGTGGGTCTTAAAAGGAAAATCCGGGAAGCCCTATGATAAAATCAGAGCAAAAGTCTGAGTTGGCTAGCATTTGGTTAAGAAGAGATAAACCGTCTAGTGTTCTTCAGATTCAAACTGGCAGGAGTATGGGAAAGTGGACAGGGTTTGACATGAATGCTGAAGTTGAATTACTGCATCTGGGAGATATAAAAAATGATGTGATCTCAAAGGCTCTTTTTACTGATTTAGATGACGATGAAGAAGAAGACATTACTCTAGACAAAGAGAATTTTACTCCAAATACTCGTATTATGAAGTCCATGAAAAAGATGGTAAGGTAGAACAAATCAAGGATTCCATGTCATACAGATCATCCTCTTTGAAAAATAAGGTAATCTCAAAGGCCGCTTCGACTGGTTTAGATGAAAACAAAGAACCCTTTACCTCGGACAAAGAGAATTTTACCCGAAATACTCTTTGACTAAGGTCCATGATGAAGAAGATGGGAAAGGTAGAAGAAATAAAGCATTTCAAGTTACATAGATCGCCCTGTTCGGAAAATGCCATTAACCTTTCAGGCAAAGAGATACAGACACCAAAAGTGCTCCAAGTAGATTGGGGTTTGATTCCCTTTTGCTGATCAAAAAAAAAAAAAAAAAAAAACAGACCACTACCTAACCATAGCATTCCAGCAGCAGCTAGCTAGATTTGCAGCCTCAGCATATCTAAGCAGCTAAGAAACAAAACACCCAAAAGAACAACAGCTAACTCACCTACAACATAGCAAGATTTGTAGCCTCGGCATAGCTGAGCAGCCAAGAAGCAAGACTAGCAGTAGCATAAAACTAGCCACATCCTGCATCAGTTCTGTAGCAATAGGAACATCAAACTAGCATTCACTCTATAGCAAGAACAAAGTACTAGCCTCACCAAACTAGACTCAACTCAATATATAGCAGCATCAAACATCAGTAGCATACAGCTCAGTAAACTAATTATTGAGATTCACTCCCATAGAAGCAACAAGGCACATTCCATCCAAATGGCTAGCCTCGCCAAACATTGAAGGCAGATCACAGATCATAGGGCTGGACTCAACTCCCCTGCCTAAAACAATATTGAACCAAATAACGAGGTGCCACCACAGCTGAGCCAAGCAGACCAACAAAATAGAAATATATTCCAATAAAAACTAACTATTTATCTAGACAACAAACATACACATTCTAATTTATCTAGACTTCCTACACATTTGGAAGCCTTAACAGACCACAAAAGATGTCCAACTTCAACCAACGAACAAATAATCACCAAAAATAAACATGGGTACACCAAGTTACTTATAATCCAGAATATAGATGCCCCTAAGTAGTCATTTATTCATCATAGCAATGTAAATCAATACTTAACAAAAAAAGTGCACTGAACCATGGCATTGTTCAACAAAAACATGAAGGCCTTGTTTGGTTTGTATTTCTCAAAAAATTTTGGGAAAAATTCTCTACAAATAAGTTTTCAAAAGTAATCAAACCAAACAAATTTTTCTAATTTTTTTTTCCAAAACTTGTTTGGTTTACAAGTTTTCCAAACAAATCTCTCTCTCATACACATCAAATCAATCACTTTTTCCAAAACTCTCTCTCAAAATAATTTTTCAAAACATCTTTTGAAAAAAAACCAAACCAAAGAAATTTTCGTACTTTTTATCCCAAAACATGTTTCTCAAATACAAACCAAACAAGCCCGAAATGTTTGCATATAAAAATTATATTCCAATAAAAACTAACTATTTAGTACTCCTTTGACTTTCAAGGATTTCCATTTGGCGGTGAAGATAATATTTTTGTTGCATTGGAGACAAACCATTTGTATCCATCATTATAATTCTCTCATCTTCTTTCAATTGTTCTGCTCGAATCTTTTCTTGTTTAATACGAAATCGCTCTTGGATTTCCTCTTTCATAATTCGAATTCTCTCTTGCTCAAGCTCTTGGTTAATACGATTCTGCTCTTGCTCTTGAAGACACGCTTTCTTAAGGATTTCCATTTTCTTGTCAATTGCTTTCTTTTTCTCTTCCATTATCCCATTCAATATCCCTTTATAATTTGAACCAGCTGAATCTTTACTCTATCGCTCTTTTTCAGCCTTCCTGCCTAGTGGCCTCTTCAAGTTTACATAAGCATCATGTGAGACATCATCCTCTAGATTTATCGCCTCTGGAGCAAAAGGAGAAGATGTTGCTGAAGTTTTTTTTTTTTTTTTGGTTTTTTCTTCTCACTTTTTTTTTTGGTTTTTTTTTCTTCTCACATTCCTCTAACCATTTTGGTTGGTACCTCAACACATTCCAACAATGTTCAAATGGAAATGATGTTTTTTGGAATTCCTGATACATAAGTTTGGCCTTGTCAATCTGAAAAATTAAATGAATAAAGACTAATTAGCATCTTCAAACAAAATGACAATTACATCTAATTTAGATATGTACACAATATATACCTTGTCTTGCTCATTTACTCCACTTTGATGCATTGATTCAATTTGAGCAAAGAATCCACAAAACTTATTAGTTCCAAGTTAAATAGTTGACCACCGATTCATTAAAGAATTTTGATTACGTTAAGAATTAAAAGTCTTGTACTTGTGGAAATACTCCCAAACTGTATTCCAATATGTCTTGTGCTTTTGCTCATTTCCGTGTACTGCATCCAAACTTGTATTAAGCCATGCCGATACAAGGAGATTGTCTTCTTCTGTAGTGATGTTGTCACCACGTTGTGATTTCTTTGTGGTGGATTCTATTTGGGGTGACAATGGAGACTCTTGCCTGGCCACTTCACCATGTTGGCTTGAACATTGACCCATTTGATTTGAAGATTTCATCATAAATTCACCTAAAAGGTTGGATCCCCCTTGTAATAGATTGATGAAGTACGCATCTGTTGGTGTCTGAGAATTCATCCTATGAAATGATCATTCCATTGCAATGGTGAATGATGATTCAATTTACAACGTATTCTCGTTATTTTTTAATCAACCAAACATGAGAATGGACATTTTGGTAAAATGATAATTCTATTCGTTTCATTCCAAACACTACCTAAGAAGTGGTCAAATTTGAAAGTTATTGTGGCCTATCATTAACTAGATAATACTTAAAAAATTAAAAAACAAGAAGACGAAGAAGAAGAAGAAGAAGAATAAGAAGAAGAAGAAGCCCCAATCTAGCTTATCAAGGTTACTCATTTGACAATAACATTGTAAAACTCATTATCCCATTTAAGACCAAACTGTAAACAATTCAGGTATGCAGATACCTTTGAAGAATAAATGTAAGAAAATTAATAAAGTACTCTGTTTCTACTTAATGACCTTAATGAAATATAAAAGTTGATAGGAAAAGTCATTGAGTCTAATATCAAAAACTGTTCACCAACATAGACATGCTCCACCTTTGGTCATTGTTATTTTCAAAAACAATGCTTTACAATAAACTATCCAAAAGCATTTTATAGTGATGTGTAAAATCTACCCAAAGTAATATGTATAAAGTTTGAATTCCAATCCTACACAGCAGTAGATTCATTGCGGCAATTCAATGAACACCATGCAAGCAATTAAGAAAATTCATAACTCCTCTAAATTCAAAGCAATATTGCAGAAAGTTTGAAACACAATCCTGCATAGCAACATATTTATTGTGGCAATTCAACAAGCACCGTGCAAGCAATTAAGAAAAATTCATAACTCTTGAAACTGTACATTCAATATTCAGTACAAAACCTTCATATGTTCACTCAACATTCAAAATCTAGTTCAAACTCTTGATCCAACAATCAAATCATTGAAACATTGATTCAATATTAAGTTAACAGATCAAAACAAAAAAAAGAAAAAAAGAAAAAAGAGGAGGACGAGAGAGAGAGATTGTACCATTGCTCAATAGTTTCCGATTTCAGTCCAATAGTCAAGTCTTTGTCGCTGGTTATTTGTAGCGAGGGATTTGGGTTTGATAGAAAATGCCGATTGCGTTGCCGAGTTTGATGGAGCAACAATTTTATGCCTTTTTTGATTTTTCGGTATAAAATAGCTAACAGACAATTTTGAAGAGTATTATACCAATGCTCTAAACCAACTATATTAGACGTCTTATATAAATATAAATAAACTGTCTCCCTTTTTATTATAAAAAAGAAGAAGAAGAAAGTTTCTACCTTTTTAAATCCCAATTTTATCCTCTCAAATTTACTATATTTTCTAAAAGTCATGAAAAGTTTTACATAAACCAACTATCATTTTAATTTTGGAGTTGAATACTCAAAAATGATATATCTGTTTCTAAGAGTCCTACAAATCGTCTTCCTTCTTATCCAAAGAAAAAAAAAATCTCTCTATTTTTTACATTGATAATAATTGAAGAACAAAAAACAATTACTCTTTTTTATTTTCTGTGTCTGCTCCTATATTGATATACATAATATTTACAATTGTCCATCATGGATCAAATCATTGTGAATAATTTGGTTGAATCTTAAAGTTGTATGCATTCATTCAAATCTAGACAGAGAAAAGCGCATGCATTTTTAAAATAAAGATTTATGATGCATCTCAAAAATTCATAGGTTATCTTCATACACTTTCCTTTTGTTTAAATTATGTTTTATGAACTATAATATTTTACATCGTACTTTAATAAACAAGTTATAATGTCAAAATTCTAAATAAGAATCACTTTCATTGGTTTTCGGAGGGAAATTTAATTGGCTACTAAAGTTGTTAGTCGGAAAAACGTCATTATTTATTATTGGCGACTACAAAAATTAGTCGGGAAAGAAATCTATATATAAAAAATACACTTCCATACGCTCAGCTGTCTCTCACTCTGTGACTCTCTCTCTCTCTCTCTCTCTTTCTCACTCTCTCACGCCTCTGCCCTCCTCCAGCTCTCTCTCTCCCCTTTGTCTCTATCGTCGTCGGGTACGGGAGCATCACCGCCATCGCACACGAGCACCACCGTCAATTGATGGGTCTGCTCAACTAGGTACTGTTTGTGTTATACCTATACCTATACTTCAAATTTTTTAAGAAGATTCGAAGTCGTTGATGGGTCTGCTCAACTCCGGAGATCAACGGCCCTTCGATGAAATCAATGCGGATTTCAAGTCCAATTTCCCTCGCCCCCTCCATTTCACTCTTTGCCCTCGCCTCTCCAATCTCTTAGGGGCAACTCTCTCTCTCTCTCTCTATCTATATATATATAATTTTTTTATTTATCAATTGTAATGGAGATTTTCATACTTGATTAAGATACTAAATTTAGCTGATTGGAGTTTAGATGTAAGAATTTGAAGAGTTAGGGCTTTGTTTATTGGCCATATGAGGTGTTGGGTTCTGAGATTGAACTTGGAATTGTTGTTAGGTTTTGTACGTAAACACTAATATGCACACTGTTTGGTTTTTGAAAATTGAATTATGCGATTTTGGGAATTTCTAGTATGGGTGCTTATTAACACTGAAAGGGGGCTAATTTTGCTCTTTATGCTAGTCATAACTTTCGTGTCAATTGAAATTCTAATTCAACTCAACTTTATTTTGGGGTTTCACTAATCTTTGCTTTCTTTTTGGACTACATGAAAGTCAACAATAGGATCAGTATCCGAGTCAACAATAGGTAGTGTTGCGAATACAATTCGAGGTCTGGCTTCTGGATTTGGGATTAAATGTGGAATAATTGGTGCATGCGGGAATGATGAACAAGGCCAACTTTTTGTACATAATATGACATAACGATGTAAACCTCTCTAGATTGACGACGAAAACTGGTCCAACTGCACAGGTAAGCTCTTTGTTAGTCCTCTTTGTTAGTTCATAAATAATTTTCAACAAATTTATGGATAGTAAATGAGATATTAATTGCTTGTAAACTTTAGTGTGTCTTCTTGGTTGATTCGCTTGGGAACTGTACAATGCGACCTTGTCTCTCAAATGCTGTCAGACTTCAGGTGCTTGAGATGATCTTTTGTGTTGAATTTTGATTCAGAATAGTCCTTCAAACTTGTGTGATATGTATGTAATGTAAGCTTATTCGAGTTCCTACTTTTTGGTGTCTTTTTTTTTCAGGCAGATGAGTTGACAAGAGAAACTTTTAGAGGATCCAAGGTCAATAGCATCTATATGAAGTTTAAATTTTAGAGCTTACCACATGTTCATCCGTTAGGATTCATGTCTAATGTAGTTACTAAAACCTAATATTATACTGGTGGAAACATTGAAGCATTGCAAAAATATTAAGGGTTAATTACACCGTTGGTGTCTAGTTTTAGCGAATTTTCATTTTAGTGCCCATAGTTTCAATTCATCAATCTAAACTCTAGACTAACAATTGTGTTTCATTGTGGTCCCCGTCAATTTCTATTGGCATTTTGGACAGAAAAATGTCATGTGTGACTCACATGGCGCATTTTAGTAATTTCCGCCCAAAAAAAAAAAAACATGAATAAATTACACTATAGTAGTATCTATAGTTTCACTAGAATTCAACTTTGGTTCCTTTAGTTTTGGACATGTCATTTTTCCGTCCAAAATCCTAATGATAACCGATGGAGGGACCACATTGAAACACAATTGGAATTATGGGGTTTAAATTGATGAAGTTGAAACTTTGAGTTCCAAAGTGAAATCTCCCTAGAACTATAGAGAACCGTTATGTAATTTTCCCATACATTAACCAAGATTATTACTTTGATAAAATGTCTCTCCTCGACTTGGAAAGAAACAACAATTTCACTGTTATTAACTCAGATCTGGTTTATAAAGTTGCAATCATCAAAATGGTGCTACTCACTTTATGTCCTGCTTTGATCCCTATTTCATAGCCATAATCTATTCAAAATGCAATCTTAGTTTAGTCAATAGTTTCATTGTAAAAATTAGTAATCTCTGCTGACTTAACTATCATAATTAATTTCCAGTGGTTGGTATTGAGATATGGAATATACAATTTGGATATTATTCATGCTGCTGTTAGGATTGCCAAACAAGAGGGAGTTTCTGTCTCCTTGGATTTGGCAAGTTTTGAGGTACAACCTTAGCTTCTTGATTTATTTTCTCGTATCCAATTGAATCACTTGAGCACCAATGTTCATGTAATCTATATCTATTTATTAAAAAAAAAACTGAAATCATTGTTGAACAACTTTTGATATGGCAGATGGTTCGGGACTTTAGGGCACCCCTTTTGAAATTACTTGAGTCTGGGGATGTTGACCTCTGTTTCGCCAACGAAGATGAAGCAACAGAGGTGGTTAGGTGATTGTCACTTGCCTACTAAATTTATAATCCTACTTTTATTAATAGGAATGCTAAATTTCCTTCTGTTTTTTTTTTCCTTCTTCTCACTTTGGCATAGTTTCATTTACATATTCTTGGGTGTTATTTAGGCTAGGTCTTAAACGTTGAAGTCCTAAAACTGTAATTACTAGTTTATGCACAAATCTTGCTTGAACACAATTTTAAGCTGTTAAAGACCATAAAGGATACTTCTCGTCCAAAAAATGGTGATGTTAAGGGGAATTTATTAATAATTTCAGCTTGATGGTCAAATTGAGCAATCCTTGATTGAGATTACATGCTCGATTAATTATGGATACCTTTGTTCTTGATTTTAATTATGGATACCTTGGTTTTGAACAATCTTGTTTGCCCTAATGGTGAATTCCTATTGTTGGCTTTAGGGGCAACTCGGATACTGATCCTGAAGCTGCTCTGGGATATCTGGCAAAACACTTTATTTTACATTACTCTACATGAAAGTCACAATTTTATAATTTGTTTTCTTTTGAAGCATTATATTTATTTTCTTGCAACTGAATTTGGCAACTCATTAGTTTTGGTGTATAGACTACAATATTATAGAGATTATTTTACAAAAAAATGGTTTCCAATAAAATCCTATTCATTCTTGGGAGCACACAAAATTTGATTTTCCAGAAACAAATCATATTATTTTCCATGCTGAAGAGAAAACTTGCTTTTAGTATGCTTTGTTTGGTTGTTGGAGTAAAAAACACAGCACCAAGTGATTTCAAAAGATAGTATTGAGCATGTAACTTGCTATGGTGAGAAAGCAAGTGATTTCATTGAATTTTCATTAACTGCAGTGATTTATTCTTGAAAGAGCCTAAAAACATATATAATTTCACAGGTACAGATATACAATAAGACCCAAGGAAATTATTATTAAATTCTTGTATAGCCATGTTCACAAAGACTACAATTAACTAAATTTATAGACTAACCATTTGCTGTGCAGGTCTAAGCCAACCCTGCTGTAGAAGATTAGACAAATCTCTAGCAATGGTAGCTCGACCAGACACCCACACCTCACTTGATTCATTGTGGTCATCTTCTTCAGGCATAGAGTCTTCCCAACATCGAGTCATTACTGGTAATGCTGCAAAGCCCTGTTCAACCATCTATTGTGAACCAGTGCCAGTTCATTGCTAAAATTCATTGTTTATAGAAGCACTGTTAAGAGAAAACAATAAATATCTTAACTATCAGGAAGGAGGACAAAAATACACGCATAGTTAAATAACCAACTCTATAAATTGCAACCATTTATGATATTCTCCATAGATATCAGAAATTTGAAGGATTAAATGCAATTGAAATTTTAAAGATGAAATAAAGAAAATGGTGATAGTTTAAGGGATAGAAGTGAAATTAATCCGTTGAATAATTCATTATTTTTAGGCTAATATTTTGATTAATTTGAATTGAATTTTGGTTTCAGAAGGAAGATTTAGGGACGATTTCACTTGGGATTTTGTATTCATCTTTTACAGTTTTTTCTTTGGTTGCTGCATTGGTGGTTCGATTTCTAGGGTCAAAAAATGCTCTTATTCTTGGGACTACTGAGTATTGGTTGTTCATAGTAGTGAATTTGATACCAACATGGTAATTAGTTTCTCATCATAGATAAATTTCCTTACTTTAGTTCAGGACAAACATGATAATTAGTTCCTGTCAATTTTTGCAATTTATACTAAAAACCGTGTTAGATGTCAAAAGTTAAACACATATATTATTCCTATTTGTTAAATTTTATGTTGCATCTGGATGGAGAAATAGGTGGATAATGGGAAGCTTATATTAATTTACTATTTTTTTATCGTAAGAAGATTTACAAATTTTTGTTGTCAAAATTATTAATATTTGTGGTGATTTATGCCAGTTTGTGGTGATTTAGAGTTGAAAATGTCATTAATTTAGTCGACAAAAAGGGGTTTGGGTGGCGAAAATGCGAAACAACCCCGAACCACTGTTGAAAATGTCATAGAATCAATGTTCGTCTACCATTCCATGTTTGGGTGTCTTTCATTAGTTAATAGCTATTACTCTCCTTGTCTTTTCATGTTTGAAATTAATACAGTTGCTATATGTTGTCCAGAAGTGCCTTTATAGGCACCAAACTAATGACATTTTTTTAATTTGCAGATGGTTTTGGACATACAAATGTGGATATGATTTTTTTTGACAAGTACGGAAGGGCAAACAAATGTGGATATGGTTTTGGACATAGAAATGTGGATATGATGGTTTTAGACATACAAACTAATGATTTGTATTATATATAGAAATGAAATGAATGGTTTTGGTTAGTCCTGTATTATGTATGAATGAAATTATTGGCGTTGGAATAGACTTGGTTCGTATGGAATTTGTATTATATATAGAATTGGACGCTCAATATTAATGTTTTGGATGGTTGGAACTAAAATGTGTGTTGAATGCTTGAATGGTTGATAATATATTTAGCGTTGATGGATTATATGGGTTATACAGGATACAGGTTGTACTAAAAATGGAAATGAGCAAACTTAGTAATTCTACATACAGTAACCTAAACGGGACTTATACCTTGGGTGCTCAAGGTAGCCCCACAATGAAATTTGTAGCCACACATTCTTATTTCCATTCCAAAATAGAGAAAGGTTGAAGTAGTTCTACCACTATCTGATATTCGACTTCGACCTGTTGGCACCGAAAAATATTTAGACACAATTCAACAATTTCCTTCTTCACAGTAGGTCGTCAACATTTTTATTTCAAATGCCAACTAACTTTACCATAGGAGTTTGGTCTATTCCCTTGTCACAAAAGTTCAATTCATTCTTCAATAATTCCGTAATTCACATCCGATTCAATGTTTAGTCCAGTGACTCATCACAGTTATCCAAGGTCAACCAAAAGTCTTCAGGAATTTAAAATGGATCCAGACACTGATTCCCGAGTCAACAAGGATGACAACGAAACAATCAACCATACGACATACGTAACTCACATATCCCTATAGTATCGATCCTAAGGTATAGTAACATCAAAACAGTCAATTTCTAAATCATACACGTGCTATCAATTCATTCAACAGTTTACACTTCAGTTCAATGTTCAATTCTCCGTTCCATCGAGTCTCCCCACATTATGTGATAGTCGTCAAAAGCATAAGGCAATTCATATACTAATCTCCATGGCGTCAGTGGTAATATCAAAACAGTCAATCACATGTTAAACACAATTTACACATCCTCAGAGCCCCAATTGCAAAATATAATGGCACTAAGCAGTTATTTACACAAGGCGTACTGAATTCGCACATTTTCGGACAATCAGGGTTTTTCACAGCTTCTTGGATGTCAATAACATCTAGATAATACCAAAGGATGACATTCCAGACAAAACAAATGAATAATCGTCTCGGAATCAAAGCACACCCGTTCACGACCGTCGGTGGCCGATCCGAGATCGATTAGACAAATCCACCCGTACAAAACTGTCGGTGGCAAAAGAGATACCTCAGCAAAGGTGCTACCTAGGCTTAATGTCCCCTAGCATGAAAGGACGTCTCAAGGATGTCATCAAAACAAACACAATACCACTCACATAACTTGATTTCCCAAAATCCAATAACACTGAAGCCGACATATGAAACATATTCTGATTAGTCGAGAATAAATATTCGGTACTGTTTACAATCAAATCATTATGTTGTCATCGGCTTCCATAACGTCAAATAAGCAAGAATATGACAATACACGAGCATTGTTCCTTAAGACACCCACTCACTAGATTTGCACAATTCAGTTCATTTTTAGCACATATGCCCTCGATAGTTGGAGGTTGGTTCTCAATGGTGTTCATGGTTAGATCAATATGTTGATAGCCCACAAAAGGTCTTTCAAATAAGTCAAGTACTCCCAACGGATTCAAGTTTTGGGTTTATCAGTTTTCTTGCCAAGAATAATCTGGCTACTTATTCACGAACAATTCGTAATCCCTTTTTACAAAATCAAATTAGATAGAGGGTCTTATCGATCAATCCAAGCAAAGGTCTTGTCAGATTAGATCAAACAAATGTCTCATCAAATTATGTCCAATGAGGGTTCTATCAGGCCGAATCAGACAAGGTTGTATCAGATTGAATCAGATAAAAGTTTTCTCAATGGGGTATTTTCGGTTCTATAAGGCACACTTCGTTGCTTAGGTACATAGTTGATAGTTTCACAACTGTTCTAAGTTCATCAGTTCTCAAAGTCATATCGGAGTCATTTATCACAACTGCTCATGTCAAAGTATTTCAAATCATGTACAATATGGCATTGTCCACATAAGTTCAGGTATAGTTGCATATGTATGCAGTTATTCAGATCAGGAGGTATGTACCATAATCAATCCAATAGTTCCCAAACAAGTCTTATATGCAAATATATGGTGCACAGTAACACATTAAACAAAGTTCCTCGGTTGCACATAGTATAGGATTTGTTACGCAAAAGTTCCAAATTAGTCACGAATCATAGGTTTACGAGTTAAGCCCAATATAGTCACATAGTTCGATCAATTTTCTACCAATCCAAGTGCATGATCTCGCAATTTATAGAGTTCGTTATTTGGGGTGCTCAACCCAGTCACACAATCACAGAGTCATAATTCCAGTGGTTTAGTCATTGAAGACAGTAATATAAAAAATCACCCTGAGCATAGGTTTAGATGTACATGTGCATATGCAGAGTTAATCGATATCCCAATACATATTTCACAAATTTCCCAAATGAAGCATAGACATTCAATGAATACAGTTTTGACCTTGTGGGTTTAACCAGTCTGGATACTTGCCCCTCTTTCACAGAACTTGAAAGTTATAACAATGACAGGAGTGAGTCTCAAAGCCTAGAGACGACCCGTTTTTGACAAGGCTGAAGACTTAGACAAAGCATATAAGCTACAGACAAAGATATGCACCAGAGGGCAAGGGCAAAATGCAAGACAATGCACAAGGCCGAGCATAACTTATGATCATGCAACGAAAACTGTAACGAAGCATAACATGCAACAGTTTTAAGCAAGCAAAAACCAAACTACATCATAATACAGAAAGGATGTAAGAGAATTATACAATCTTAACCATGCGCTATGTAGGAAAGACTAAGAGCGACCATTGGGGACACCCGAGGTCTCAAACAAGATTTTGACGCGTTGCACGCGAAAGGAGAAAGAGTGGCATAAGCATTGGAACATGTTCCAAATGCTCTTAACCAAAGAGGGAGAAACATAGGGACATATCCCGGTGTTTCAGAAAGGTATAAGCATTGGAATGTATTCCAAATGCTCTTAACCTAAGAGGGAGAAACATAGGGACGTATCCCGGTGGTTAGGGACGTATCCCGGTGTTTAGGGACGTATCCCGGTGGTTAGGGACGTATCCCGGTGTTTAGGGACATATCCCGGTGGTTAGGGACGTATCCCGGTGTTTAGGAAGGAAGGAAAAACATAGGGACGTATCCTGGTGTTTCGGAAAAGGAGAAGAAACATAGGGACGTATCTCGGTGTTTCGGAAGGAAGAGAAACATAGGGACATATCCCGGTGTTTCGGAAGGAAGGAGAAACATAGGGACGTATCCCGGTGTTTCGGAAAAGGAGAAGAAACATAGGGACGTATTCCGATGTTTCGGAAGGAAGGAGAAACATAGGGACGTATCCCGGTGTTTCGGAAAGGAAGAGAAACATAGGGACGTATCCTGGTGTTTCGGAAGGAAGGAGAAACATAGGGACGTATCCTAGTGTTTCGGAAAAGGAGAAGAAACATAAGGACGTATCCCGGTGTTTCGGAGAGAAGGAGTGTGCAAAACGATGCAATTGAAAGGGTGCATAACAATGCGAGTGGAATGAGCGTAACAACGCAAGTAAAGTGTGCATAACAATGCAACTAGAACTATGCATAACAATGCAAGTGAAGTGTGCATAAAAATGCAACTAGAGTGTGTGATAACGCAACTAAAGAGTGTGCATAACAATGCGATTGAAACGTGCATAACAATGCAAGTAGAACTTGTGTGACAGCGCATGTTAGAGATGTGCAAAACAATGCAATACAGGTACATAAGACAGTGCGAGTGAGGTGCACAAAAGAAGTGCGATAAGATGCATTTTCTATGCAAGTATGGGGGCATTAATCATGTACTCTGGTGCCTCCGATTTACATCTCAGAGGACTTGGCAACACGCTCAGCTCAAAAGGGGACACCCTGTCTATATTGGCGAGAGATAACATCTGCAGATGCTTTAATTACGATTCTGACTTAAAGCAGGCTTAAGCTTGGGGTTGAGATACACTCACACTCCAGAGAAATGGTGAGGCTTGAGAAAGTGCACCTAGAATGCAGTCTCGGAATTTGCCGAAGTTGAACCACACTAAGATGCTCCAAATTTTCCTTCTTTTCTTTTGCTTTGCAGTCTGGAACCCACATAGCTTCAGATAGGTCCTTGTTTTACTGTTCACACTTATCGGGGGTGGACCCTGCAGTTTTATGAAAGAACAAATACTGTTTTGCATAAATGTGGAGAATGGCACAGCACTCTGAGCACAAGTTAATTTTTTTGAAATTGAGAAATGAG